CTCCAATTATCGCATCTTGATCACAAGAGCTGCAAACTGCTTTGAGGGAAGAAAGGCTCCTCATCGAAAACAGATCTTCATTTAGGTCCCTCTGCCATGTGATGTGCAGGTCACCGATGTTTCGCCGCAAATGTTTAGGTGCCCATGTAAGCAGCTGATCAGTCATTGAGGCTTCATCGCATCGTTGCAAATGAGATCGAACTGCGCCAGTCGTTTGTCTCTCAGTACCTTCGATACGTCATGAGGTCAGCTAGTGCCAAGACTCGATTGTTTTTACGTGGTCGAACCACTTGACCCTGAACCTCCAGCGCACTCAGCGCTGTTGTAGGCTGTCCAGTCAATGTTGCTGTGCTCTTCTGAATGAAATCCTTTCCAGTTTTGGGAGCCTAAACAGCCTGGGAGTAGCACAAGACAGTTGATTGATGGAACAGCGTTGTAGGCATAGCCAGAGTCAAGGAAAGCACCCCGTAGCACCAGCTTCCCTATGTGAAAGTCTCACTCTCAATGGTTAACTGGCACAGCCAGCTGATCGATCGCATTACGTCCACTTCAGTAGCTGAACCGCCAAGGTTTGATTCTCAAGTACCTTGTGTGCACAAACGAAGAAAGGATTTTCTCTAGGTATTAATTTTATTGGATAATTGGTCGCAATTCTGTTGCACTCTTCGGCTATTTTGGTTTGTAATTGGTGCCAGCCGCACAATTTGCCATAACTCCAACCAGTACAGTCCGACAGAGATCCGTAACAGCCTCGTCATACTCATTCCGTAGTGTTACTGATAAGGCTAATGAAAAGGTTAATGGAAGATCTTCAGTCTTCAGCCTCATTCGTTTCCCTTTCTACTTTCCTCATAGACGCTGAGTGGTTTGATCAGAATGGTGGTTACAGAAAATTGCGTTATACTAAATTCGATTCGGGGCATGGGTTTTATTAATATCGACTGAAAAATGATTAATGTCTATTTCTAGAGAACAGTTTGATTGTTGCGGATTTGGATAGATTACTGTATATTGCTTTGGCAACAGCAAAGTAAAGTCAAATTTAGTGGTATGGGAGATCACATCAGCCATCTATTTTTTAGCTATGTATTGACGGTTCAAAGCCGCACACTACTTACAAAAGAAAATGCCAAACGTGCTAAAAAGTGAATGAACATGTTGGTGATGCGGTTATAGTGAAAAGTCGATTATTTCAGAGTGAAGATTTTGAAAAAAAATATTGAAGCGTTTCGAGTGGGAAGCGAGTGCTTTGAGGAGCCATGCAACGCCTTTATGCTTCCGGAAGGCAACATCGTCGTGGTCGATACGATCAACGGCCTGTTCTTGTTTTCGAGTCACACGGAGCTACTGAAGATGGTGCGCAGTGACGAGTGGAAGTGGCCTCAGGGTCTAACCTACCATGCGACTGCCCATCGTCTACTCGTCTCTCTGTTGCGGAGAAACAGCGCCAGCAAGTGGCAGAGGGCGATCGGCATCTTCGACGAGAAACTGGAGTTCGTTTCGTTCATGGACGGTCCCGAAGACGACGACGCTTATGACATCATAGCGAAGGAATGCTTGGTGTATGACCCTAAGGCCGACTGCCTGTTGTTCTGTGTGTCTGATAACCTCGGCTCGGCGTTCTACCGGCGCTCGATGACCGGCAACAAATGGCATATGGTGTACCACCGCCAAGGAGTGACCTACGTGTCGATGCAGGTGCTCATGTGTTCAGATATGGTCAGCGAGGTGCTGGTCATCGAAGGCAGGTCGTCTTACCTCTACAAACTGGCCCTCACCGATGGCCGTGCCGCGAACCGCAAGCTGTACATCCCTGCCGAGAGACCGACTGCCATCTGCCTGGACGAGGAGCGACAGCTTTTCGTGTTTGACGCCATAGTAGGAAAGATCATGACAATCAGCTCTGTGACGTTCGAAAAGAGACAGGAAGTGGGCCTGGTAGACCAGCACGTGACATCGATGAACAGCTGCAACGGTTTCCTATGCGTAACGCTGAAAGAGTCAAAGATGGTC